CCCCAAAACCCCAAAACCCCAAAACCCCAAATGCAAAAATATTAATGTTTCAGTTAGAAGTAATATTTAAATTAGTAATTTATTCTCTTTAAATTGAAACAAATATGAAAAATCAAGCAGAGTATAAGCTATGCTAGATGCTTATAACCATAGGACAAGCTGAGAAAGATGTAAGATTAAAGATATTCATTTGATTTTCAGATTGAATTATCAAGGTCAGTACTGACAGAGGTGAGTGACTTTGATCCACTCTCTATTACTCAAACAATCTCGAGCATGTCAACATGTTATGTTTAGTCTGAGGATCTTTTGAATTATTTGCAAAGAAAATAGATATAATGCACAGATTACGATGTTTAATGCCTAATTAGACAATATGACACCTACAAGCAGGGTTATTTAAATAGAGAGTAATTCTTAAATATGATACTTCCGAATAACAACAAAAGGTTTGAGATCCTACAGAAAACGACTCCCTCAAAAACAAGACAATCAAGTAGTCTAAGTCCTACACAAAATAAGAGGAATTAGAATAAAAGCGAAGCTGGCTATTGCAAACTTAGTTATCCAGTTGAGTATGGATTGCTTAGAGTGATAAAAAAGGAACTGGATCTAGTTAGGCATGCTGATGAATTAAAAAATGAGCTTAGTAGTCTTTCACCAGATATTATTGAACTTTTTTATTCTGTTAAGGGAGGAAGATAGTCTAGTTCTTCTGTTAGACATCCAGATTTTTTTTCAAAAATAGACATTTAAAACTTCATAAAGAAATATTCAACTTCCTAAATAGTTGGTATAGATGATTTAGCTGGTTCTATCATGAGAAGAATAGATTATGATTTCGATGATAAGGTAAAATATGCCGAATTCGTGGAACTAATCTCACCTAGATCCCTAGAGAGTATTGGTAGGTTACCAACTGGATTAAGCTTTAAAAACAAGTATTCCCCGTAGAGAGCTTAAATGTAGATAAACTTTTAGTAGGCTCTCAAATTTTCAGATGCCAAAAGAACCTAGGATTAGAATGATATCTAGAAACGGCTGAGTAGTAGCCCAGTCAGGGAGAGGATCTAAAATTAAAGGAACAACGAAAGTTAAAATAGTTAATATGAACCATTGAGAGCTGATTTGACAAAAAGATTTAGTGACTTAACAAATAAGCAAGCTAATTAAAATCCAACTCTAGCTTTGAGTCAATCTTAAAACAAATCTCTAGGAGAGCAGGCATATTAATAGTTAAGAAATTCTAGAGGCTAAGCAGATAAATAAAATTACCTGTCCCCAAAAGATGCTAGATATAATCAAGCTGAAATACATCAGAATGATGAAAAAGAAAACTAAAAATAAACAGAGGAAAGTAGTGATGATGAGAATCAAAAAAAGAATAAGAGGTTAAGCTAATCAAATAATCGATCTTCAAAATTTAGCAAAGGGCTTGAAGAAATAGTAGAAGATCAAGAGAGAGAAGAATTCTATCATGTGAATCAAACCCCAGTTCATCTATTAAAAAATCCACCGACAAAGATCAACAGAAATAGTCAGGAATTCTCACCAACTACATTTAAATCAATTACTACATTCGAAGGCAAACCTCAGCAGTACCTACTCTCCTCTTAAAACTATCATCTAAAGTAGCAGAGTCTTGACTCATAGGCATCTGCTTACTAAAACTGTCTTAGAATTGTAAATTAAGCAACTGATCAGAATGAATCAGTTGAGACAGTTTTCAATTTAGATAACTTGCTGATTGGTTACAATGTATTTCTTAAAGAATATTGTAAGATAAAAAATAGTATTGAGTAAGAAAGGCACAAGCTTTTAATTAATAAATCCTACCTGTAAGTCCAAGAACTGTTTAGGTATATTACTCAGGGATAGATAACATGTAAGATTGAAGATTTGAAGGAGTTTCTTTTTAAGAAGCATAAATATCTTTTCGAGTTAAAAGACCTATCAATATTTTGCTAAAGCATTTCTCAGACTAATAATGCTTTTGAATTTGATTTCAACGACTTTGTTTTATTTATCAGACCGACTGAAGCTAGCTTTCAAATGGCTTTTGATCGCTTCTTGCAAAATGATATTAAATAACATCAAAGATTGAATCAGATATCCCTCAGTCTGCACGAGGATCTCAAATTCTCCCTTATACAATTGATCAAGCTAAGTATTAGTAAATATAAGGAAATCAATGAATCCATCCAAAAATTTTCTTAGGCATATCAAATAACTACGACTCAAGTTCTAAGTTATATAGCCGCTTTTGAATAATGAAGATTAATATAAATAACTAATGACTTTTAAAATATAATCTAAAAACTTGCGGGGTTTGGGGTTTTGGGGTTTTGGGGTTTTGGGG